AAAAAAAAAAAAAAAGTACAAAGACCTAGAACTAGAAATACACAGAATGTGGCATATGAAAACCGTAGTGATCCCTGTGGTTGTTGGTGCGCTTGGTACAGTGAATATGGTAGAAAACATCAAGAAAGTATCAGAGAGGACTACTATGACAGAGATTCACAAGATCTGCATGCTGGGATCTGTGCGAATCCTCAGAAAGGTGCTCAGTGTATGAACAGAATGATTGACTTGAGTGACTGACGCTCTAAGTGCATGGTTTGCGCCCGGCTGATGCACAAAAAGAACACCAGCAAAGACTTTGATAAAAGGGATAATAATAATAATAATAATAATAATAATAATAATAATAATAATAATAATAATAATAATAATAATAACAATAATAATACCGTGATATAAGATATACGTGATAAGTAAGAAAGGACATTGCACTTGTCATTTTCTGAACTCGTCCACCGCCAAACGCCAGTTCTTTTAGCTCCAACAGTGCCACTTGACGTCTGTGTATCTATGTTTTGTTTTTTTCTGTTTTTAGAACATCAATGCCTCTGGATTCAGAGTCTGTGTCAAAGAGTTGTTTGAAACCAGATATGATCCCTTGTCAGTGAGTTATGTAGTACTTGCAGGTTAGTAAATACTAATAAATTTGTTCTGAACTGATAAGTTATTTCGAATAAACATACTAAAGGTCGTATTTTCGTGGGCTCTGTGCACACGTGCACGTTTAATCTCCCGTTTTCTCGTTACCAAACACATTGAAAGCGGATTTTATACTAGCTGCCGAAAAAGTTCGGAACATAAAAAGCCCCCGTCACTTGTAAGCCCTTCGAACATAAGCCCGCAAATTTGTGTCCCAAAAAGGCCTTTTATAAGACTGCCCCCCTCCCCCTTATAGATGAGCCCCTGGAGGGTGGGGGAAGGTTTTTATTTGGGAATCACTCTCACAATGCAAGCGGAAAATCGTTCAATATCGTTTTCAAACATTTACGTACTTTGTAATGTTTATGGGGTCTAACAAAATGCTCGTTAATACCTGACGACGCCCAGGACGTAAGGATCCGCGAACGCGAAACTGATTTTAGGGTTTTTGATATTTTTACCACATATAGATATCTGTGATCCTGGCTGGAGCTACTTTAATGGATTTTGCTATGCAGTCAGCAAGAAGTGCGCAAATTGGACCGAAGCTCTGGCTAATTGCCGGCAGAAAAACGCAAGTCTCGTCAACGTCTACAGTAATGAGGAAAACGTATTTATACAACGTCTTCGCAATGGAGCAAAGTCCTGGCTGGGATTAAATGACATTTCCAGAGAGGGAACGTTCACCTGGGCAGGCAGCCGGCCAGGAAACTTTACAGCTTGGGCCAAAAACCAACCAAATAATGTTGGAGATGAAGACTGTGCGCATACACTTGGCATTGGACACAACTACAAGTGGAATGACGTGAAGTGCAGTGACTGTCATCAGTATACCTGCAAAAAAGGTCAATGGAAATTACATAAACAACCAAGAAGTCTTTTTTATAAGTAGGTTATATAATCCGGGTGAGTTGAGTCCCGTTTAAGACTGTTGGCGGTGAGAGTGACTGCTGTTTCAACAACCTCGTGCATGCTGAAGAACTTTATAAACATCACCCGCCAACAAGCCGGTCTTTTGCCTGTTTGTTGTAGCCTGTCCCAGCGCGCAGCGCGAAGTAAAGAGAGGAGTGAAGAAAACAGTCTTCCCTCTTCGTTTTTCTTCGATTTCTTCACTTCGCTCTGCTCTCCACTAACTAAACACCTGGAACAGGCTAGCCTGTTCACAGGACCTCTATTTTCTGTGCTTCACGCTCGCTCTCGCTTTCATCAAATCAGAGTAGAAAAACATCTGCAAACAGGCTTGGAACCCGGTTATAGACCCTTGATACATCAAAGTCCGTCTATTATACAACTATCCCCCAAAGGGGAGGAGAATAGTGGTGGCTCTAATAACGAGACGCGAAGCGTCGGGGTATATATCGAGCGCTATGAACCGACCCTGAGGGGTTATTTGTTTTAGTATTTACATACGAAATCAGTCGGATAAAAATCAAAAAGGAACTTTTTTTGTAAATAAAAGACGTCGCTTAGTTAGAGTTTTTTTGCGTTTAAATTGAAAGTGTTTCAGGGACCAATTGTTATGGTTTTGTTCCAAATTCAGTAAGAAAATTCTTTTCTACTGACCAGTAAACACCGACAAACCAAATTTGTTCTCTTTCTTGGTATTTGTTGGTGCAGCTGCTTCATTTACCGCTAAAATTTCATCTTTCGAAACTGTTGCGAAACGAGACGCAGAATCCTGTCCCAAAACAGTGAATATCCAAGGATATTCCGAGTTACGGAAGACAATCAGAACGCGCGAAAATTGCTATCCACTGATTTGGTGAATACTAATAAAAACTAGGCTGTGCTCTTTTTTTGAACTACATCTTCCTGTCTCGATATCAGATAGCACATCCACCGCTCCAAGAGACTATAAAGGGGACAGAGAGGGCATCCCCCATATACACCCTATTCCATAGGTAATTCGTCTCGAGTTATTTTTAACACCACAGATCTCAAGGGGGATTAGACAACAGCCAATCACATAGCGCGAATGTGTTCCGCGTGGATGACCCACGCTGAGAGCCACGCGTCCTTCACGAAATGAAGCTCAGAAAGAGAAATAAAATTTCGTCGTTGCTTATTTACGTCCTCCATAAAACGCGAAATTAGGCATTTTCACGTCGTATGTCGTGCAAAAACGGGAAAGAAATGAACAAAAAAGTGTGTTGCACGTGCGAAGTTGTTGTTTTGCTAATTAAACCTATTGTTTTTTTGACGCTCTAGTTGTCGTCCGCGTCGTTGGATCTTAAACTCCCTAAATTGTACCAACGACTGGTTTCAATAGACCGGCGAAATTTCTCATTTTATTAAAGCACTGAGGTTACGACAACTTCGAGTTAAACTGATTTCACGGGTTGTCAAAGAGTCCAGCGATTCCTTTTTCCCAGGTGAGCGCCGACTCATTTCGCTTCAATATTCAGGAATGCTCTCGATCTTTTTACGCTTTCATTGCCTCTCGCCCGACATGTTGTGCTCGGCGTTTGGTCATGCGAAACCTCCACGAAACATCCACGCCTCGCGCGAGGTAACTTTATCCCGATTCTAAAAATAACTCGAGACGAATTACCTATGGAATAGGGTGTATAAGGGGGATGCCCTCTCTGTCCCCTTTATAGTCTCTTGACCGCTCTTATTCTTTCCCTGTCTTTCTCCATGTTTTTAGCTCTCTTGAAGCGTTTGCCATGATTACCTTGGTAATAAGAATCAAATATTGCTTTACACCTTATAATATTTTTTTTTCTTGAAATTTTTTTTTGGTTTTTCTTGTTTATGCTTTAACAGACCTGAATGCGTGCAGCGGCAACAAGTTCTGTCATCTAAAGGCTTATTGTACAAATCTGTGGGGTTCGTTTAAGTGCACCTGTAACCATGGCTACGCGGGAAATGGATTTAACTGTATAAACGGACGAGGTACATAAGAGACATTTTAACAACATAAGAGACTTACATTTTGAATGAAAACTAATAGGAGTTAAACGTTTCTGAAAACTGTTTCTAACCTGTCCAAACTATATCTCTTCCATACGGTAGGGTTTTCAGGCACGTACTCTTCTATAGTGTAAACTGAAGACTGTTTTCCAGTCTTGCTAGATCACTTAGGTATATCAATTTGACAGATTTTCAATCGCTGCCGATCTGTTATAAATCTGTGTTTGTCATTAACATATACAAATATTTTATATTTTTATTTTTTTTATATACAAATCAAGGGATTGCGTCCAAGGAGGTCTGCGTCTCGACGGGATTAATGGTATCAAGGCTTCCCGCGTTGCACCGGCTGTAACTGAGACACAATTATTTTGATTGAATAAATTTCTTACTGTTAACTGTTTTTACGACTAACGGCTAAAATTTTCGCATTTACACCAATAGACCAAAATCTTTGGCTGTTTTAAGGCTAGCTCTTAACTCCATAGAGACCCTCTTAGCAGCGTCTACCGGGAGTCCGAGGATGGGCGAAGCGGGATTACGCTCTTTTACGCCCGTTAAACGATCCAAGTTTTCGTCCAACATCGTATTTGTCTTGCACAAAATGTGTTGGGTTATTCTGACACCAAATCAGATTCATTCTTGCACCATAGTTATTGCAATCGACCTTCTTTTCAGGATTACAAGACTCTGCTATTGTGGGAAGCAACATAAACCACTTGACCTTGTTACTTAACTGGCTTAAACCAGTGGCAAAAAGCGTCAATCCTTTCTGGAAACACTGTTGGCGTGCATCCGTGTACGGCTGGGCTGCACGTTCATTTCACTACGGATGTGACGGCAAGGGCCCGACTGTGACAATAATAAGGGTCGGGAGATATATTTTCGGAGGATACACTAGTAAATCTTGGGGTAAGTGCGCATTGTAAACAGAGATATTACGATAACACTTTTTCCGCTACTAGCACTAAGAAGTTATATGTAAATGTACAGGTGAGCAATATGGTGGACAATATGGAATCTGTTGACCCTGCAATGAAGGCGTGGTTTTAGCCAGCTAAACAGGTTTAAATTTCATGTTGTCATCGACTATTGAATCTTTGGAAAATGAGGTAACATGGCCCTCTGCACCTACTACCTTACTTTTCATTACAAAAATTGTGTTAAAAGACTTTTAAAAAATATGTATTATTTTCATGCACTGTACTCACTATATGTCTTTTCATTGGCTAAGAGCCTACAGTTCATTTTGGAAATCAGCTTAAAATACAGACAAGAACCCCATAGTGGAGGTTCATTGGGCTGCCGACTGCGCGGTCTACAGTCTACGTGAAAACGCGTTATTTTTTTCCACACGATAAAAATATTCAGTTTTAAGATTTTTTTTGGTATTTTTCCTTAACTTAAAGGAATAAATTGTTTTGCATTTTGACCCAAAAAAGTCTGATTTCATCGGCACGCACTTTAAACAATACGAAAAGATGAAACGATCGATATCACGTATTTTACCATGATACTAATTAACAATAGGCTGATTTAGCAACGGGACGGGAACGTCAGTTGGCGACGGGAAAGCGCGCGGAAAGGAATAAACACGACTTCCGGTGTCCAATTTGCCGCTCTGCCATTGGTCAAGCCAGTTGTTTGATTTGCGCGCGCCATCGTCAACTGACGTTCGCGTTCTGTTGCTAAATCAGCCTAATTATTCCACGAGGGCGCATTGGATATGAGATGATAGACAGCCAACGAGGCGCGTCGCGCCGAGTTGGCTATAATCATCTCATATCCAACAAGCGCGAGTGGAATAATTGTTTTATTAAAAACGCCCACAAAATCTCGTTGAATCTCCCCGACTAGAACAAACGGGAAAAGACAAGGGACTTCCGCTATTTACATGTCACACGTCTATCAAAACTGTCAACGCGCCAACGGACTCGCCTGGACTGCATGAATGAAAAATCAAAACATTGTAGCACAGCAGAACAGATAAAAAAACCTGGCAGATAATGTGAAGGAAAAGAATTTTTAAGTGACAGCCGTCGAAATTACTGTGAATTTGGATTTTCGGTGCAGTTATAAAAGTAAGAACAACGGAGAAAAACTATTACCTCAGTCGCTTGTTATGAAGTTGTTTGAAGCCACAAGCTGGTTTTGCTGAACGAGAAAAGAAGCTATACTGCCGCCTCGATTGCTCTAGTGAATGGCTGCATAGCCTGTATTTGTAGCTGGTTACTTGTGATTTATATTCTTGATGTCGGATAAACAAGCGGCGGTTATCTATCGGCGAGTGACTCGATCGGCGCCATGGCTTCGCGATCATGAAGAAACAACACTTGTCTTCTTTCGTAGCTGGTTAAGGTACTTTAGTTCCATGTGTTTTGATGTGTTTTTCGACAAACTTTCAAACAAGCTCTCGTGGCTTTTTTGTTTGTTTTTGTCTTTTTTCTTTCGATGAAATTACATTTCTAGTATTCTAAGAAATGAATTAAAACAATATATACCATAACGGCTAAGCCAATCAAAATGCTAGAATTGCATTATCCAATGATTCAGTTTTTAATAATATATATTATACTGTAATATACTATATATTTAACAATTATTCTTTAAAATCGAGGTGAATAGTGGTAAAATATTTACCGAGCCGCGAAAGCGGCTTCTATTCACCGAGATTGAAAAGAATAATTGTTTTAGTATATACACACGAAGTGATCTCAACAAAATCACAGCGGAAACCATTAAAAAGCACGATTTGATTGCCAGATCAAATCACGCGTAAGTTTAAAATAGATCTTTGCAGAATTTTCAAACATATATGGCAATTCACAAGTTTATCATTTCGCAAACAACAGCGTAATGGCTTAAATGGAACCGCTAAAAGTTTGAACTGTTTCCTTACCTGAGAAGAAAAGTAGAGCTTTGTTGTTTTCTGTTGACTCGCCAAGTTTATCGCCAAAAGGGTTTGTTGTGTCGTTCTTCGCATGAAGTGCTGACAAAAATGGCGGCTCGGTTGCTCGAGGTAAGACGTCGTCTTCCTGTATCATTATTTTTCCTGTTTACTTGAAACGTAGAATTTCTGCAAACATTTCCTTTTAAATTTGTTTGTCATAAATAAACTTCGATTTTTGAGCCAAAATTTTCTTGTTCACGAAACGGCTTCTTCTACCCGAATACACGGGAGTTGTAAACAACCCATCGAGCACAAAACTCAGCTACAGTAAATTAAAAAAACACCGTCTTGAATCCTTCCAAGTCTTTTCTTGCCTTAAAAAAAGTCAGCCCTAGGATTTTGTCGACTTTTAAAAGATCGTTCTCTAAAAAAATGGGAAAAACACCGAGCTCACACATTATCCACTCGCTAGGAGGTGAATATTGTTGAATAGTCCGAGGTAGCGAACCAATCAGATAGCTTAAATCACCAAGATCGCTGAGTGTGTATATATACTAATATATAATGTACCACATTATACTGTTTTTGCCCCTCACATTTACAGTGTTCGTTCGTCATGTTCAAAACACTTTTAGGAAAATACGGGTCACGTAAGTCGTGTGTATCATTCGAGATAAATCGATTATAGGCTTTTTTAAGTTCCCTTTTGGAGTCATTTTGGCGGTAACTTTAGTTTACATCTCCATAAAATGGTATGCATGGAAAGAAACTTTACGCGAGCTGTGAACTTTCAAAGGTTTATCGAAACTCGTTAATGCTGACATCACTATATCGTGCTTGCTGAATGGGCGAACACACAGAATTGAGGAGAAGCATAACAACTGATAACGAGATCATGCCCATATTTAATGGCAACGAGGCTGCGATTGTACTTTGGGGCAATATACCATCGCATCGACGGTTTGTTGCTCGCATCTTCCAAATTTTGTCAGCGCCAGCTGGTTATGAAGAATAAGTGAGCGGATTAAAGCCAATCAGAAATGGAGAACTATTTTAAATGAATAATAAAGAATATAGTGTAGAATAAATGGTGAGGAGACCTCAAGAAACCTCAGTTCTTGTCCTAAGAGGTCCCCTCGATGAAAAAACTGAATTATTGATATCGAGTGGCGAGACTGTACCAGCATAACTGCCCGTCTGTTATTGTTTGTTTGTTTGTGTTATATATCTTTACACATTTTCATAATCGTTGGAAGATCAAGAAGATTTCTTTTGAAGGAAGATAAGAGGTACCGTATATGCTTGAATTAGCGCCCAGGGCGATTATTTAATTTTTTGACTTGAGATCGAAGGGGTCGCTTATTTAAAGGGAAGGGCTTATTTCCAGCCTCGAAATGACCTTATCTTTGTTTCAAATGAACAAAACCTGTAACACTTAACAGGAAAACTTAAACGTGGCTTTCACTGGAAACCAAACTTTGCGCGCATTTGGTACACATACTTCGCTCCTGGCTGTAGTCACTAAGTTCTTTCACTACCCTTATCAGAGGTGCCGCGTCTTCGACATGCGACAGTGTAATGTCCTCAAATTAGTCAATCTCTAGTTCACGATCGTACATCTCATTTATGCTGTATTCCTTGAAGGTATAAGTAGCGCATGCCCCGGCTTATAATCAGTATAAGAGGGTTGTTAGACCTTTGCCGATGGATCGGGCCAATTTCGTTCCATATGGAACGATGCAGATTATCCATTTCTGAACCCTTTAGCTTCGATCCGGTTTAAGTGATTAAGTTGATAAGTAGCAAATTCAGGAACGATAAATATTTCCCCACTGAATAAATCTCATTTTGAATCCTGCCAGAGTTACACACAAGAAACCTGCTAACATTTTTGGGAATAATACATTGCCAATTTCGCTATTTCCCTCTTTGTAAATTAAATTTCTCCCTTTCCTGTAAAGTTAGCCAGCCACAATTCCATGGAAAGCAAGACGAAAAGTTGGGTAACAAAACGATATAGAATAGAAAGGAAAGGGAAAGAAAGAGGGCGAGAAAGAAAGATCGAAATAGATATTTGCAAAAAAAATTAAAAAATTGCCCACTTTTTTCTTAAGCGTATGCGCCAAAACCAAAAATGAAACTCGCGGGAAAATATGCAAAGGATTAAAGGGGCGCTAATTCGAGGAAGGCGGAGGGGGGTTTTTTGAAGGGGGCGCTTATTCAAGCGGTGTCGGTTACTAAAGGAGGTAAAGCATTCCATGTTCTTGTTAGAGTATAGTGAACAGTATGAAGTTCATATAGAATGTTTAGTCAGGGGCGGATCTAGGGGGAGGGTGCAGGGGGTGCGCACCCCCCCCCCCCGGGATGACCTGCGGTTTTTAAATACAACTGGTATTCTGCAAAAAAAAAACTATGTGGTTTATTGGTGTTGAAGTAGAGCAAGAGACGAGTGCATCCCCTCCTAAAAAAAATCCTGGATCCGCCCCTGTTAGTCTCGTAGCACTACGGCAAATGATCGAACAGAGAGAGAATCGGATTAATTCTAAAGTAAAAATTTAAGTGCTGCAAATAACCCTTAGGACCCTACTGAGCGATAGACTCAGTAAAGGGAATTAGGGGACCATACGAGGCAGGCAAGGAAAGGAATATTTTAAAATCGATGGGATTCGAACCCACGACCTCTGGACTAGATGCGGCCTGCGGAAGCAAGTCGTCGGTAATTAAGGTGGTGGATCGCGGCGAGGAAAGAGTGTGCGGGGAACATAGAATGTTGTCCAGCATAGCAATAGTAACAAATGATGGAATAAAGACCCTCTTTCTTCGCTACAGTAACTGTCTACGAGCCTTTTTCTTGTATACCTGCTTACCTTAAAAAAGTAACATTATATGGATGGCTTCGCTGTAAGTACTACGACAATGTCGCTATTAGCACTTACTTCTTTTTCTTTTCTTTCTCAGCCTACAGTCGCTATGGCCGGTATCAATACGATTCAAAAGCGTTTCTGTTTTCACTGGTGAACAAGCCTGGATGGGCACCTGTCAAATTGCCTCAAACAGGGGATTATGCTTCAAACAAAAGATCCATACACTCTCAAACGTACTCTGGGCCTACATTCGGAGGTGGATATGACATTTACATTTCCAACTACGCGTCGTCCAATAGCGATTCTGACAGCGATCTTGGCTATACTTACAGCCCACCGAGCGGGTACAGCTACCGCAGCACCTTCGCCCAAACATTCCTGGCAGGAACTCGCAGGTTCACACCAGACGAAGTAGAAACTTTTTACGAAACAACCAAAATGCAGTGAGCTTCATCAGCTTTGACATTTCGCTGACGGGGCTTGTTTTCCTGTATTGCGCATAACTAAAATTAAAAATTCATAACTAAATTAATCGCAATTATATCCTGTCCTTGCTAAAGAGGCTATCTTCAACTATAAGGCAATTGGTTGCTGCCACGAAAAATAAAGCTGGAAAACTGATAGTTGAATAAAAGTACCCCATGATATATCATGTAGAATAATATGATTATTCGGTATGTCACGGCTCTAATTAAAGGTTTAGTGTAAAATCCGTTTTTTTTTCTTTTTTTTTTTTGTGAGCGCTTAAGGAGATGCGTTTTTAATAATCTAAGACGTCACCGATTAAGCTCTCTTATAGTTATGTTACTTTTTCCCTTAAGGGAAAAAAGGAAGAATTTAAGAAATAAAAACCATTTTTTGAAGTTTTTTTTTTCTAAATCATCTTTTGCAAGCCTACGTTCAAACCGTAACTCCTGATACAATATAGGCGTTTATACGTTTAGTAAGGGAGTTCAGTTCCCAAATTTGAGAGCTAATACATACTTTCATGGTCACTTTTTTTTCTATCAAGCGCTTTGGTACTGTCTATTTCAATAAGTTGGACGAATCTGTACTAGGATTACCGTTAACGTAACATGAAAACCAACGGTTAGAAGAGTTTCAAACACAAACAAGAGAGGCAGGATTGCCTAAAAAAGAAAGGTTTTCTGAAATCTGACCACCTATTGCACTGATTATGCACAGACTGACAATAGGTTTTGCATGTTTGAGACGATGTGCTACTTAGCTATGACACACTTGCTGCTCAGTTTTGTAATGAATTTCGGGACACAGCTTTTTTAAGTAAACCTTTTGGCATGTTTGAGACGATGCGCTAAATAGCTATAATTAACTTGCTTTTAATTTTGGGTTTAGTAAAAAGGGCATTATGAACAAACAAACAACAACAGCAACAACCGAAGGTGTAAGGTTACATGATAGCCACTAAGCAATACCTTTATCATTTTTATTAGTAATTGCACGTTCTCGAAAAAGAAATCAAATAAGTGTTAAATGTAGTTTTGAGGCACTAAGGTCTGCTTTATGTTGACTTGTATGATTTTTGTAGACATATCGTATAAGCAAATTTAATGTTCTTTTTAGTCTCTTGTGTTTCCATCTAAAAAAAAGCTTTCATTGTATTTCAGTAATAAAGTAACATTGGTGTACCCCGGCAGGGTTCTCTAGTTTACATTATTTCCATTAGATTCACAAAATTGCTTTTATCGTAACGATGTAATGAACCTTCGATCTAATCACTCAGAATAGACGCAAACGCATTAAGCGTATTATTAACAATTATTCCTCGAGCCCGAGTGGGCTCTGAGTCAATAGCCCATGAGGCCGAAGGTCTCATGGGCTATTGACTCAGAAGCCATGAGGGCAAGAGGAATAATTGTTTTAGTAAAATCCAGCCAGTTAGTCAAAAATATCGAGAATAAAAAAAAATTAGCTAGTTAAAGCTAGGCTTTAATCCTTTTTTGCCGCCAAAAAGCCCGCGCTTTTTGCTACTAGTAGGCTATTACATATAGCTTAGTAGTAGCTCAACCAATCAGAACGCAGCATTGATAATAGACCACTAGTTGGATTTTACTAATTTGATATATTTATGGATCTAATTCTTTCTATGTTTTAAAAAACATAAAAAGAAAATCAAGGCCTCTTTTCCGGCTTTTTCCCTTCTCTATTTGAACATGGATAAAGCCCTCAAGAATTCAACTTCATGAAAAGTCGCCTAGAATTGACGAATCGAGCAGTTCTAAATAGACGCGATAAAGTTCTCTGAAGTTTGAAAGGCTGCAAAATTCCTTTTTTCAGTGATGTTTTCACTTCTGTCGTCGTCGTTGTTTAAGGCGCCTACATTTGACGAATCGAGCGGTTCCAAATAGACGCGATAAAGTTCTCTGAAGTTTGAAAAGGTGCAAAATTCCTTTTTTTAGTGATGTTTTCACTTCCTTCGTCGTCGTCGTCGTTTCTTAAGGTCCCTTATAAGTAGACAAGACGACATAATGCTTCAACACTGAATTCCAAGCGTGCCCATCCCCCGGGCATTTGT